GCAGCTTTTGCTTGGTCCTCCGATGCCGAGCGCCTTGGTCCTGCTTGCCCCGGCGGTGCTCTCTAGAGAGCAGCAGCATTTGCTTCTAGGATACAGTCATATATCCTTGTTATTATTTTCAATGTTAAGTAGAAGAAAAATATGATCAGAGAAAGCTAGCAGGCTACAAACAAAAGTTAACAACCCCACAGCCTGAATATGTAAATCTTTCCATGCAAATGACTGATTCCTACTTTTCATAAAACAAAAACAGGAGAACCTTGTAGTGATATTCTTTGTTGATTTTTGTTTTTCATGTCATTGGCAAAGCGGCTGTTTTTACATGTGTAGAGCTAGCAGGCATACCCAAGTCGGTCCTCGAAGGGCTGCTGTCCCGCAGGTTTTAGATTTTATTTTCTGCTTCAGCATAGCATTCTGATGATTGCAGTTAAACGATAGCCTGTTAATCAGCAATCAATGAAAGTCAGCTGCGACAGAGCAGGGAAACCTCTAAAGAAGGGAAGCTGACTGTTTGTTTACTTTTGCGACAAGTGCCCTTAGCGGTGTTGTTTTCGTCAGGGAGGATAAAGAAATAAGTTTGTTGACACTCCTTTTTTCATAACGATAACGAAAACAGACGAGCTAAACATGGATCTTTGATGACTAAAACATAACGAGCCATAGGTTTGAGTTTTCGTCAACAAGACGAGAGAAGACTAAATGAAAAATAAACATCAGTCAGACGTTTAAATTGCATCATTGTGTTTTAATCTGCTAAGCAGTGACACTGCTGGTGCATCTTGATCCTGCTGCCCACCTGCTGCGCAGCGTTGCATATGCTGCAGGAGCACAAATGGATCATGGCAGCAGCAGCGACAGGGTCTGAGAAAATAACCCGGAATGGTCTCGTACTGCGCATTCAACTCTGGCAAATTGTCCATCTTCTATCTGTGCTAGTGTAGAAATGTGTCTTTGTGTGTGGAGCTCCGAGTATGTGCTTCACACTCCACTCTAATGGTTTGCTCTCAGCAATCTGGCTCTTTCATCGCTACTTAATAAACAATGTGGCTAACGTCCTCTGCCAAGTGTAAAGAAAAAAAAACTTTGTCTAACTATCAATATTTTATTTCTTCCAGCTCACAAGAGGTGATACTAAACAGTCAACTGTCAAAAATAACACTGGCCCCTAGTGGCCAAAAGTTAAACAGTGTGCGTGAGTTGGGAATTGGTAGCCTGGGTGCCAGTCCGAACTTAGTCCCGCCCACAAGGTTTGAGTTCGGGGAAGTTCGGTCTGGCTCTGCTCCATAGTAGCGCGAGTATTAAAGCCCACTGTCAGGCGATCCAATCAAATTGTCAGGGCGGGCTTTATACGATGATGGACAGATGATCAAGAGTAACGTAATCAACCACGTGACCAATGCGCGCTTGGGTGACAACAATAATGGCTGCCGCTGGAGAGTTTGGGTGAGTAGATTCTGCTATTAGGTCTGTTCTAGAAGATATCGACAGCAAATTAATTTTAAAAGAGGAACAGAGAAACGCGATCAAGTCTCATCTTCTTATTCTAGGCGTGAAACTGCACGCTTTGGTTTTTGTGGACAACAACTATGCCTCGCTTAAGATACGTCACGCACTCCGTTGCTCTTATTGGTTGTAGGTCTATCCAATTGAGTGCAGAGGCATTTTTTTTCCTGGTTCGTTCAAAACACGCCCCATAATCACAGCTCTATGGAGCAGTATCAGACTCATATTCTGACTAGAATTGAGTCGGACTACGTCAGGCTAGGGAATTGGTGCTATATAAATAAACAGCATTGAACAGAATTTTTTATGTCCATTATATTTTGTTGCTTCATTAGCAAAGCTGGGGAAAGCAAATTGCTGAATCTTTATATTAGTGGAGTGTTGGCCTAGTTGTTAGAGCAGTGCACTTGTTCTCTGACAGTAGCCGGTTTGATCCCCACAGCCTGCACTCTTGGTTCCAGAGCGAAACTCTTAACCTCACACTGCTCCCCAAGGGAATGGATTAAATGCAGAAAGTAAATTTCCCCAATGTGGGACAATAAAGGGATTTACATTTTCACATCTGCAAGTTATTGATCTCAGCGGATTCCTTTTTTCAACAAGTGCATCAGACAAGGGACGGCCAGACCTCAACCTCTCAGCAGCTTTTTTTGTTTCCTGGAGTTGCTGCAATGTACTGCATGAAAAAAATAATTCCATATTTTGCTGTAGTGAGTCAAAATTGAAGTATTTATTCACCCCATACAATAAATCTGGATAAATGACATCAAAATTAACATTACTTAACAGAAGAATGACAAATCATTAGTTTACCAGCCTGGAACATAAAAATACTTAATGGTGCAAGCAGTCCAGAGATCCTCCACTTGCCCTTCATAGTATGGCCTTTTCATCCTGCTGGCTATCACGCAATCCTGAAACTTGAGCTCCAGAAAAACAACCTGCTCCATGTGAAAACATTAGAACAGTTTGTGCATCATCAACAACACATGTAGATTTCTGCACCTCTATGATGACAGTAAGCAAGCTTATTAGCTCCATGAGAAGTGTTTTGTTTAATTACTTCGTTTTGCATTTATCATTATATATACAGATCCTAAAGCCCAAGAAAGTGATCTTTATAACACAAACATTTTTTTTAAATTAATACTAAAACAAAATGTTATATTGAGCAATTATAATAAAATGTAATATTTATGTTCCTTTTTATATTTGAATATAATCCATTTATGACATAAAGATTAACCAAAAACTCTAAATGCTTACTTAAAAAAGGGGAATGTTAGAATCCCATCCCAACCTTGAAAATACAGAGATGACATCATCCCACAGCGGCGTTGTCCGGCCAGCATGACATCATCCACCCAGCATGTGAGCTCCTCCAAAGTGTTTCTCCCGCCTTGTGCTTTAATTATTCAACTGTCGGCTTCCCCACATCAAGCACGGCACATTCACTTTTATCCTAGACACAGAGAGCTCAGAAGTTCAATTATTTTGATGGAGATTAAAAAGCAGCAAGTGAGCAAGCCAAAAGTGGAAACTTTGCTATTCCCTTTCATGTTTTTACATGATCTTTTGCTCTTCCATAGAAATTAAAAAGTCACATATTTGTAACAAAATGCCTGAAATACTTTCTAGGACAATTTAGAATATGTTTATTTGGATAATTGCAAAATTATAAACAGTACAGTACACGTGGCCTCTCTTTTTCTACATCAGAAGAGCATCTCTATCCTCATAGCCTCTTTTGGGTGTTAATTATGAGTATGAATCATGTCTGCACTATGTTTTAAGCTTGGGATATACATATATATGTGTGTGTGTGTGTTTTTAATCTAACCATGATTCATAGTTTAAACTGTGTCTCTTACAATATGCTTCTTGGCCTGTATGACAGTTTCATACAGTTTGTGGCTGACAGCTTTATTGACATTATGAATAATCCACATATGTAGATTATTAATTTTGTGAAGGTAGTTGATAAGGTGCATTAGATCAAAGGTATTCAACAATAATAGATGTCATATAATCCAGATTCAATTTACATTTTTTTCACTCAAAAGTATGAGCTAATTATCCTTTCTTTGTTGATGAATTCCTAATTTGATAAAATAATGTAACAAATGTGGACTTTTGCAAGGGTCTGTAAATTACAGGAGAATTAATTTAGATTTCCTTGGTTTAGTTATTCAATTTACATTTAACTTAAACTATTAAACTAAGATTTAAATTTGAGCATGTGAAATCTTTTTATTTTTAATGCATTTTTAATTTCTCAAGAGCTCAATTAAAATTTGGCATGCAATTTCGATATATGTGGCCAGATATACAACAGATGGCCCTCACGAGATTCGACCACAAAAACTCTCGGCTTAAAGTCATGCATGCTGAAAATACAGAACACTTTGTATTTAAATGAAGTTGTTAAAGGTGCCAAATTCACTAAAATCTCACCTGGCTTTATGAGAAAAGTCATGTCTCATATTAAAATTTGACATGCATAATAAAATGTATAATGCACAATGAAAACAAAAAAAAAAAGAAAAAAAAGCTTGAAGCTATTACATTATCAATAAACTGTGATTAACAGTAAAATCTTACCTAAGTCATAATACTGTAATAATAATACATAACACTGGCCTAAAATCGGGAAATTACTTAAAATCATAAAGCAACAAATTACTACTAGTGTCTTAAATATTTAGGCACATGAGAAACGTGTCTGACAGGACTTAAGTTTAAACCTATGTGCTTGAACTTTTTTGTCTTCTAAATACTTTATTATTTATTTAATAAATTGTGCTGCAATTGGCGCTGCAATTTTTTCCTGAATTCCATTTAAAGCAATGGCATAATTATCAGTAAGCAGAGACTGCAGTTGCTTAGGGGCCCCCGACCTCTTAGGGGCCCGTCACTGACACTTGGTTGGCCCCCTACGCAGTTGGGGACTAGGACGTCTTTTTGCAGATGTAATGGTGCAAAAAAAAAAATCCCTCTTAAACCCACCTGATTCTGGGTTGACTGAATGGACCTTATTTATACCCCAACACATGGCAGATTTCAACAGGATGGTGAGCCGTCGACACCAAGGATGGGGTGCTGTAGCCTACTTCTTATGGGGCCCACCCAGATAATGTTGCGCTGTTGATTTAAAGGAAATACATATAAAGTTACATAAAACCAAAATGATCAGTGGAGTTCACAATATAAAATGAAAAAGAAAATCACATCTGACCAATAGAATCACTTAAAGTTATACTTCACAGGAAGAAAATGTATTTAGCATTACCAATGCGAGGGTTGAGAGAGCTAGTCACATTTCACAAAAGAGTCAAGCAATACAATACTAAAAAAATAAAAAATACAGCCGAGCTTCCTTTACGTCCCCTTGAAGTTGAAGCTGTAAATTCGCAGGTTTCCTTAACGCACCACGGCAGAACAGGAGTTTTTCTCTTTTTTTACCCCTCCCACCAGCGCTCCAGTATTCAGTCTCACTACGGTGAGTCAACCCAGTAGTTGGCTGGGAGCGCTTCTCTGAATTCCTCATCTGTCAGATGGTTTGAGCTGTGGACATAACTCCGGTGTATAGAAAAACCTCCATGCAGCTTCCGTTCTGATCAACACGTAAGTAAGAACCCAGACCATTTAACATTTAATGACAAAATATGTGTGTCGCTTTCTTGCTGTTTCTTTACAGGCTTTCCTATTTCCCAATCTTTATACATCGTATACTACTTAATTTTCTAAAACCTTAAAGAAAAGATTTTTAATGGAAGTGTTGTTCCACAGCTTGACATTTAGTTGAACTGTGGGTGCAATTTAGAAGTGTTAAAGTTAGGATATAAATAATTTCCTCTTATGATTGAGTGAGAGGAGTAGCTGTATGAGGGACCAGCTGTAAACACCCCTCCTCATTTGCATAATGAGGCCGAAATGCATAAAGAAATGTAAAAACGACAGGCAGAAATAAATAGCATTGAAGTAATAAACAGGGTAAAAAAATACAAAGGAAAAATAAAACAGACAAAAATGTTATAGCATGCACATAAATAAACACTTAAAAATAAGTAATTAATAAATTAAATTGAAGTTTATTACGGACAATAAATAGATAAATAAATAAGGTAAATTTATTTGTTTATTCTATTTTTGGTAGCAATTAATTGTATGCTTATTTATTTATTGAGCTTTTTTAAAATTATTTCTGTATTTTTTTTTAAATATGGTAGAGCTGGTCCTCCATATAGCTGAACTACTTGTTTAAGGAAAAAAAAAAGAAGTTTTTCCAGGGTGGCAAGCACAGACCTGCCAGCATTTGGACACAGAGCCTTCAGGGAAGAGTAGCAGTACAGAAATAAAGACGTTGAAGTTGGAAAAACCGTTAATGTTTTTAACCGTTAAGTAGAAGGGAAAAATCAGTGAGCATTTTTTCTGCCTGACTAAAGCGCAGTTAAGTAAATGTTTCACATCGCAACTCACATTATATTTTAATTGGATTGTAAATTATTTAATGTTTTTAAAATACTAAAACCTTAAACCAGATATTTCTAGTTAGCTAACTGTGCAAATAATCACCCAATTATAACACAATTGACAATAATTTAAAGTTGTCTTAAGTTTTCATCTTTTAAAGATCAAGAAATCTAAAATGATCAAAAATATGCAAACACTTCACTTTAGTATCAATACCATGCCCAATTAGTATTTTGTCCAGATATAGTGTTGGAGTATCGATAAGTTTGAGTATCAATATTTTTGAATAGCCTATTGTATTGTTACTAAATATATATATGAAAAGAGAGTGAAAGAGACGGGGAGAGAATTTAAACATTTAGGGTTTTCATAATACATAAAGTAAATATAAAACTTTAGATATCAACCTCAAGTTGAGACATGTAACTAGTGGTGCATGTTTATGGTTATCTTTTAGAGAACGTTGACTGTATGCCACTGCAATGCAATTTACATTTTTTTCTCATATACAGCATTTCCAATTGTCTTGCCACTGTAATGTGCTATATAAATAAATTTGCCTCATCTTGCCATTCCAAGGATATCCCAATTTATTTGAGAGCTTGTGTGCCAATAGGCTGGATCTTCTTTTCTCCAAAAGAAAAAGGCATCAAAGTACATTTGGTTTTATACCTGATATTGTTCTCTGAAAAACATCACAATCAAGCCTTTTTTTAATCATTCTACACTATCAAATAAATAATAAAAGTATGTGTGATTAATACTGATACTGTATCAGGATACTGCCGGTATTAGTCAACCCTTAAAGTTCCAATATCGTTATCATATCGGAAAACAAAAAGTAGTATCCCTTGGTTTAACTTAACCTATTAAAACCCACCCATTTGCCCATTTCTTTCAGCCAATATAAAAAAAGTTAAAGACTAGACTCTGCTGTCATTGTTTTTCCAATTATAATGATGCCACTGCAATCAAAGATACATTTTGTAAGGCTTTTGTGAGTTTTTTTTGTCCCTTGTTTTCTTTTTATATATTGGATGCTAAAGGTTATTGCCAAAGGCTAGACATCTCGACTAAATGAGCCTTTTAACAAACAATTCAGTTTACCTCAAGGAAAACTTTCTGTTATGTTAAATGTCACATTGTTATGCAGCCTATTTGGCAGTTATTTGCTCCTGTCAAACCTTGGCATTCGGAGTTGTCAGATTAAACCTGTGTGGGAGGTTTTAAAAATCAGTGAAAGATGTTAACGCCTCTGATATTACTGGTTTGAGAAGGTTGCCTGTTCTGTGCTTAATAATTTATGCATCCCTTAAAATATACTTCAATCTAATTAGCACTGTTATGTAAGTCCCAGAGTGAATTTATCTTTTAATAAATCCCATTAACTCAAGCTGGTGTAACAGGAACAGTTTATAAACCATTTGAAGGCACATCATAGTTAACATTCACATATGGGATCATATATCCAATTATAAGGCTAGATATCGACTCTTTAGGTGAAGCTTTTTATCCTTATGAGCTATCAATTTTTTTTAGGTTTAACTTGTATGCTACATCAGAATCAAAAAGTAAAAGTGCTTTTCAAAAAATAACCACACAATGGTTCGTTCATGTTTCTGATCAATTGATTAAGCTAAAAATAAACCCACTTTTGGTAAATTACATTCCACAGTGAATAAAAAAGACATTTTTTACCACACATTTTAAATGCATTGTAAATGGTTAAAACAATCCTCTAAATTTTCTATTGTGGAGTTTATGATGTAGAGATGGGCAGACATTACAGATTTTTTCTGTTAAATACAAAATACAGTTTTTGTGCTGTTTTGCTACTAATAATAATGGATTTTATTTGCGATGCACTTTACAGTACATTTAAAACAAATAGCAAGTTACATGGCTTACTACAAGAATCAGATCACAGCAACAAGTTCATTTTTATTTTTTTATGTAAGTTGACCTGAAAAGACATGAAAAAATTTTTTTTTCATGAGATGTGTAGTATTTTAGATGTGAGAGTCCTGATTTGGAAGAAATGAAGCATTACACTTTTTCAACATAACTTTTTTTACATTAAAAAAATAACCATATAATAAATAGATATCCTATTCAGTACATGTTATTTGTTTACATATTTAACTGTATATAGACCCTACAAATATAATACATTGGGTATAGTGAAAACAAGAGTGTATAAAATTACTTTAACCATTTATAAGGGTCATTTGGAAAATTAACCACAAAAAATAGGTTCAAAACGGTTCTCCTGCAAAACTCTTTAATATTTTGGGCCGCTGCATATTCTTAATAGTGATTTTTTAAAAATTGGATTTGGAGAGTGTATCACACCAATAAAGCTTGCAAGGGTCCAGTGTTGGGCTGGAGTAAATTTGATTCTAGAACGGCCCAAAACAAACTAAAAATAAAATAAATTTATTTCATATTTCTTAGTTTTTCTAGTATAGCAATGAAAAATGAATTGTTCTCCATTCCTCTAGATTATGCAATGTAATCAGATTTGAATCGATTCACAGTTTATATTGGATATTTATTTTATGCCCTACCTAGATTTTCATGTGAGCTGAGAATGTGCGAGCTGTGCATGATTGTGCAAGCCCATAGCTTAGGAGGCAACACTGCCCCTCTGATACGGAAAAAAGGACCATAGACAAAAAACAAAGAAACTCAAAATAAATGGAAAACTGCTTATCTCTAGATAATCTACACATCCATTTAAATGTAACAGGTTCAAGTTAGGACACCCTTAGGTTTAAGTACGGCTGGTGTTTAACAACATAAAAATGTTGAAAACAACACGTACAGGAGGAAAAATATACATGTTAGAACAGAGACCAACAACTTCCAGTGAATTTTTTTTACGTCTTTGTTGATCATTTTAAGACATTGCTAGAGGTGAGCAGCCAGTGATCACTCTCAAATAAGTGAAGTCTTTCAAAATATATAACTGAAGTAAAAGTAAAACATATAGTGTACTAAAAATATCATATAAGTAAAAATATCATAAATATATAATATATAAACATATATATAAAGTATCATAAGTATAGTGTGTTCACAGTGTATGCAACTAGTTATTACACACCTCTGATGGTTTTGGAGTCAGGACAGTAACCACAATATTTAAAGAGGAGCTGAGAGTATTTTAATCTATATGGAGGAAATTATATATTTTGTATGGTAGAAATACGAAATGCATCTGTTTGCGACGCAATTCGATGTCACATTTTAAAGTACGATTCTAAGACACTATTTTTTGAAGCTTGATCAAAAGAAGAGAAAAGTGCACTGTCCTCTTTCATGATCCTGAAGACATTTTATGCCTAAAACTTTTATTTCAAGGAAAAGAAATCAGTTGAAAAATAAGACAAAAGACATAACATTTAAATAGTTTCCTTTCAGTTTAAGAAACAAAATGTGCGGCTCTTTGGGGCCGCCACTGGAATAAATTTTTTCTCCTGATGCTGACCTCCTTGGACACCTCTGCCATAGTGGTAATATTAATGTTTAGAATATTTTTGTAGAGTTTTGATAAAGAACAAAATATGTGATTTTTTCTGTGAGTAGAGAAAGTTCTGTAAGCTGTTATTTTAGCAGATGGTGGACCATGTGGAAAATGAAAGCCTTCTTTTACTATTTATAAACAATTGATAACAAAACAGAACATTAACTAATTAGCAGGGTCTCAATGGAACCAGAGATCCGGTGCGAAAGAGTGACACTCTTGTTTCAAACATTTACCAAACAGTGTTCTATCCCTATCCTCTCCTGTCGCCCATTGACAGCTGGAGATAGACACCAGCACCCCTTGCGCTTTGGATAAGTGTGACGGAAAATGGATGGATGGATGTATGTTCTATCCATAATCTAAACATGAATTTCTGTCCAGATTTGTTATGTTTTTCCAGTGTTCTTAGGTTGGTGACCCTCTTTATATAATCTTTGTTGACTAATTAGCAAACATACAGTTATTCTTCTTTTATGTCAACAGATCTATCAAGACAGACATAGAGGTTTTTGTAACACCAAAGTTCAGCACTTGCTGAACAAGATGATCTGCACATGATTATCTAATAATAACATATGGTCTGAAAACAGACATATGGGTCTTAGTTCATTACTGTTTCCATTGCTATATTGCTTGTTTTGGTCAACTCTTTCAAATAAATAGGAAGATTGTGGCTGCTGGCTTAAAGTATAAGAAGCTTCATATGGATATAGACTCTACTTAAACTTTGTTTATCCTTATTTAGAAAAAACATACAGAATCGGTCTGCATTTATAAAGTTAGGAGGAAAATTAAAATTACATTTTTCTAAGTTTTTCTAAGAGTAGGTGTTGGGATTTGGAGCGGTACCATCCGTCTCGAGCAGAGTTTAAGGTTGGTTTAGTGGAGGCAAAAACGGCAGCAGGCCTTAGTCTGCGTAACAGAAATCTGGCCCAGATTGATACCCCGTTTTTCTGATTCAGGCTGTCAATCAGATCTCAATCCCACCGTCAGTCGGACACGGAGACCTTGGGTTGTGTATCTTTCCCATCTATCTCAACCCAATTTCCTGTCCAGCTGCAATGAAAAAAAAAGCCTGCTGTGCCAAACAACTAAAATCAAATTGGGTATGTCTACCAACAATGGCAGTGTAATGTTTCATAACGACATACTGTGGCTAGCATTTTTATAGCAATCCAACTAAGTGGTGCCCATTTGAATGCATTGAATGTACACAGCTAGAGCAGTCACAAAACAGGTTTAATTGCAGCGAACTGGACTTTCGCTCAGTTTTTCTAAACCGTTTCAACACCTGTTCATGAGTCCTTGTCAGTTTTGTTTGTTTGCACAAGAGCAATCTGTAGTTGAAGCTACAAAACCATACTTGCCTCACTTTGTTTTTTGGCATTGTTCAGTGCAGCAAGGACTATTTGGAGTCCTTTATTGGAGAAACCAAACAACTACACAAGCAAATCCTGCAGAACAAGAGAGCCAGCAGCTCTGGAAAAAAGTTAGCGGTGCACTTTACCTCAAAAAACAAAGGACAGGAACTGTGATGATCAAAGTGTTCAGCTTTTGGACAGAGAGGACAGATGGTTTGAAAGGGGGAAGAAAGACAACACTTGTCATGATTCAAATAGCTAACACAAAACTCATAGAAAACAAAAGACCGCAACAACCCCGGAGAATGACAAGTGGGTTGTTGATTTGCACCTGACTGTGCTCAGGAGGATTGGCCTCAGTGGTGCTTAAAAACATCACATTAAACACTACAGATTTCTTTAGTGCGAGCCAACGGAATTTACAAAGACATAGTTGACAGTTGGATGGGTGTCGAAACACCTTGAGAAAAGCTGAGTGAAAGTCTGGTGGCTTCTGACCTAAGGCTGTTTTCTAGTTGACTTTGGAAAGTTTAGCACAGACATCTGGATTTAAAGTTTTCTAGAAGACGTTTCGCCTTTCATCCAAACGGTTTCCTCGGTTCTAACTGATGGTGGGTAGCACTGAGAATAATATACTGTAGGCGTAACAACAAAAATAGGGGAATAAAACAAAACAAAAACAAAAGGTGGATTTCACTTCCCGTTCCCTCAACTGAAATTTTGAAGCTAGACATAAGCTGGAAGACTGAGATTCTTCACAGATATGTGTTGAAGTTGACAGTTAAAGCAGAATTCTTTGCTTTAATTGTAAATGCCATCTTTTCCTCAGAGATATTTCTCAAGTCCATATTACTAATTGGACCATACCTTGAAAAAAAATGTGTTTTTGTTCCTGGAAATATTACAGTATCTAGGTTTTTAGTTACAATTGAAGGAAAATGTCCTCTAATTGCCTTTACTTCAAAATAACACCTTATATTTAATGTGTTAGAATTAATTTGTAAATTTATATCCGTCAAAAGACAAGTAAATGTAATCAATCTTATTAAATGTGATTAACAAAACAAAATAAGTTCCCAACTTAACAGACGCAAGTAATATGTACTTGGATATTAGGAGTAGACTTGGTGCTTTTTTCATTACCTGCCCATGTTTAGGTCAGAAATATATAAAATATTGTTAAGTTATCAGCTGTATAGTGCCACAGTTTGTAGCACTGTTGTCATGCAGCAAGAAGGTTCTTGGTTTGATTGTCTGTCCAGGGTATTTCTGCATGGAGTTCACATGTTCTCCCCATTCATACGTGGGTCCAAAAACATGATTTGGTTAATTGGCTTCTCTAGATTCTTATAAACTAAACTACATCTTTAGTTGGTGAGAGAAATTTGGCTGTAAAATTTACAGGAGTTTGTTATATCCACTCTTCTTAGTAAGTAAAAACAACTTAGATTCTATTAAGTGAGATTAACAAAGAATTTCTTAGTGGAAAAAGTTACCTAGCTTTTTCTAATTAAATGGTAGTCCACATTTTTTTTCAGTATACTTTCAGCTGTAAACAATTGGTATTATCCTTTGAACAATATGCAGGAGGGGACAACTGGGGAATTAACAGGAAGCTACAATGTCCAAAAGCAGTGGTTGTCCTTTGTTCTAAATTGCACTGTGCTAATAGCTGTTAGTTGATAGTTTGTTTATTATTTGATTTATTGAACCTCTTTCATACAGCTTTTTGAATAAATAAGGATGATAATGTTTTTTTGAGCTAATTTCTATTTAAAATGTATGTTGCTGCTATTATCACCACAGCCTCCCCCCATAGGGTATTTGCATAGCAATGAATCTTTAAATGTGAAAGACTAATCAAAATTATAATGTTAAAACACAACTGGAAATTACTCGTGACCATTTTCTCATAGTATACTCTATGATTTTTTCTTAATTTTTTATTTTTGATAGCATGCAAATCACACAGCTTATGAAGGTCAGTTGGCCTCTTAGCTACTGAAGAACATCAATTCTGACTGCATTTGAATAAAATGCCTAATTGTACGACTTGCTGACAGGATGTCTTTTTGTTTGTGAACTAGTTAGATGATAAAACTAAATAAAAAACAAATGAAAGACATATTACCCTGAACAAAATGGGATTCTAACAGTCTATGTACAGTAAATGGAAACAGTAATTGATGTGCTGACAGTAACACTCAACAGTGTTGTTGAGTTCCTTCAGTGCAGCACCATAGACGGGTCATGCTAAGACCTCTTTTTGCAAACAGATGCAGCCTAAAGCAACTTAATATCTCTTACCCCTCGGTTTCACCTGAGGTGGAAGCAGCGGCTGCGTGCCAGGGTGCGGCTCTCCTGGTAAAATGATGTCATGGCTGATGAAAGCAATTCTAGTACACCAGATCGTTTCCAATGAAAGCGCTGTGACATGTTTCTGAAGCATTAAAAAACAGTGGCTGTTGGCCGCTTTTCTAAATCGCTTGTCTGTTCTATTCATGTAGCTTCCTGCTTCAGATCCACTTCAATCTAGAGCCAAGCGGATTGTTCAGGCAAGAAATCAGTTCATAAAAAGCAAAGTGGATCAGATCGAGTTTACAAGTAAAAGAGATGTGCAATATTTTGATTGTATTTTCTGTACTTTTATATAATAAAAAATATGTTCATAGAGTTAATTGGCAGCACTAAAAATGTAAGATAATTAAATTGAAACGGTTACTAAGAAATACTAATTATTTAAATTCACTAACCTGTGATGGTAAAGCAACATGAATGGTGAATACAGTAGATAAAGAACAGGAACGGGAGATCCTGGTGGGCTGGTTAAACCATTGACTGGTTCTTTTGTTCTAATTTAATCATACACCTTCATAACTTAAATGATGCAATCCTGATCTGATCGGGTCTAACTGGAAACACTCCCAGCAGAAAAAAAGTGTCTGAGAGCTTTTGTTAAATTCCACTGCAGCACATAAAAGCCGATCCACTTCATGATCAACCAAGGGGTTAAAAAATATTTAACTAATATAATTATCTGGCACACACACCGACACCAGAAGACAAACAGGCTTTCGTTGGAAAAGATAGTAATCATGAGCCGTTGCAGTAGCATAAACATTTAAACAAATGAATCATTGCAACACCTAAGGAATTTGTTTTTGTGAATATCCTGGTTGATTGGTGATCATGTAGACAAAGCTGGCTGCCTCTGTTTTCCTGGCCAGACCTATTCTTGAGTAGTAACTCATCTATCAGAGGCTAAATTGTCTTTCAAAATCTTTGTTTTTCCTTCTCAAGGAAGGAATTGTTACATTTTTTAATTTTTATATACTTAATTCAACTTTTACATCTGGCTTTGTTACTCTACATTACATCTCAGTTTATTTGTGTTCTTTCTCGCATTTTTAAACTTTCTGATCCTTACTGCTTGTTTGCATAATTGCAGGACGTGGTCCATAATGTTGAAAGTCCAGGCTCAAGTGCTCCTGGTGCTGCAAGGTGAGTTTTGCAGTACAGTTTCTAAGTGAAATAAAACCCATTGCATTGATCAGACCAAATCAGAACAGGCTGTTCAACATTTTTTAAGTTTTACCTAATATTGAGAGGTGAGCATAGATACATTTTTTAAATCTAGATTAATCTAATATTGAGAGGTGAGCATAGATTAATTTTTTAAATCTAGATTAATCTAATATTGAGAGGTGAGCATAGATTAATTTTTAAATTCTAGATTAATCTCACTCTAATCTTGGAATTAATCCAGATTAAAATGCTCATTTGAATCCTGCCAAAGGGATTCATGAATAAGAATTACTTTATTAATCCCTTTTGGGAATTTTTGTTGTTGCAGTGCAACCATTCACAGAAAAGGGAAAAATAAGACTGTAAGAAACGAAGCAAACAATTCAGAATTATGTTTTATGCTGATGCTGTGATTTTAAACTGGGCAGTCCAATGAATAATTGTGTCAGGTAATTTATTGTCTAGAAGTGCGAAGCTGCTAGATGCACATCATAAATTACTTATAGCAGTAATCATAATTTTCATCTGGGAAATATTTTTTAGAAACAAAAGTTATGATTTTAATTTAATTTATTATTTACTTTGTTTTTGTTGTTGTCTGTCGCATAGAATTGTGTATACTGAGAAGTTCATGGGGTAGCATTGCATTTTCAATGCTCTGTAACAATACAGTATACAGTAAAAAATAGATAAAAAATAGACTAGAGCCGATAGACTAGATCGCAAATATTATCTGAAAGTTACAGATGACAGAGACAGATGACAGAATCTTTATAAAAAAAAAGGAATAATGTATCAGAAATCTTTCTTATACTATGAATGATTTGCGATCCTTTTTGCTACCAATAAGGCGATTATCGATTTCTTGCAGTGTTTCAGTTTTCGGCCTTGCTTATATATATTTTTTTATTTTTTTTTTGCGGTTTTCATTCAAAAGCTTTCATTTCGGGGCATCCCTTCTTCAAAAAGTATTTTGCTTACTAAGGGGAATTTTCTTCATCATGTAAAAACATAACAGAACTGAATGATTGTATCACGGTTGAGTGGAGGTTTTAGAGGACCCAAATGAAGAGAGCAGGAGGGAGAGTTGAGCCTTGCAAATTTAATGAGGTGGTAAAATACAAAAATACAAAAAAACAAAATGTCAGGAAAAACTCTCGTGCGAAGCCAGAGAAGAAGGAACAGCAAAAGAACAAACCAGCACTGAGTGACTGCAAAGGTGGTGTATATATTGGGAGACTGCCAGGCTAATCAGCAGATCGGGAGCAGGTGTGGGCAACACAAACTAGGAGAAGCCAAAGAGAAAGGAAAACAAACAAAAGGAGGCAACAGAGGGTAAAATAAAGAACTCAGAACTGGTAGAAATAAACTACAAGACACAGAACACAGAGAAACTAAAAATAAACCCAAGCCGAGGGCAGAACCCTGACAGATTGAGCTTCCTACTGCAATACCTTCTCTCATTTAAAATATAAAAAGCTTCTGTTTAATACTTTTATTCTAACTTTTGACCCTATTTATATTCTCTTCTCTCCCTGTGCTTAGCTGTTTATTGTTTGGAACCTGGAGTTCCCGTTTATTCACGTGCAATGGACCTCCCATGGCAGGATGAGCTGTGCTGTGACTCGCCCTCTGCTAATGTTCTAGCAAAGACAGGGACTAATGAGTCTGATTTCAATCTCCCACACCCTTTAAGCTGTATTTTTAGGAGCTCCATTGAATCATCACCTTCAAAGCATCCAGGTGGTAAGTGTTTACATGCATCTCTCTGTGTAATATTGAGCTTGTCAAGTCTAATGGCACAAGTACATGCTGATAGAGAAGCATTCCTAATTTGCACAAACTGAAACTTAACTTTTGTTTAATGTCATTTTATACCAATAAGTGTTTACTTTTTTTTCTGATATATTTATTTTATCAAAGCTTTATAAAACCACTTGTTATATGCTAAACTAAAGTGAGGTCAGTCCAAAAAATGTTAGGCTTTTCTTTTTCATATTTGCACTCATAATTCAGTAATGATGCAGCAAACCAAGCCCTGCGCCAGAGTCCTGCAGCGAGAGTCCTGAAGCAAGTCTGATACCTGTATAAAAAGGGTGCAGGCTTGGGTATAAATGAACAAAATGAAGGCAGATTTACAGCATGAATGGAACTTACTTGAATAGAGCTTACTATTTATATTTTCTTATACTCCTTATTAACTCTACACCTTAATCTTAACCACATTAACCTTGGAAACCAAGTCCAGTGGATTCTTTTTTGAACTTTTATGGAATGACTGACCTGCATGACTGAGAATCTTTATCAGCACATCTACACGTTAATAAATAAGGTATAACAGTATTCAGATAACAGTAATTTTCTAAGCAATGAGGCAAACCTTTTACTTTAGCCAATTTACAGCTGTTAATCCGATAGCGCAGTGCATACTGGATGTGTGCGTGAGGCAATGCTCTTTACTGCCTCTGTGATTAAGACAGTATTCTGCTGCAGCTGGAAAAATACAGCATGTTGTGTTTAAGCACTCAAACGGTTGTGTGTACACTTTGTGATCATGGGTCGGGTCGCACTTTATTTTTTACGGGTCGGTGTGGTCCAGGGTTTTAAATGGGGATAGTTGCAGGTTGGGTCTTGGTTCTGAACTCTACGGGGGCATTCAGACACAGTTTTGAAAAATATGACCCATGCAGACCTTTTTCCTCCGCTCCTAATGCATTGTTGCAAATGGAAATTAACTTTCTCTGACCAATGTACACTTGTTAAACTCAGCTGTAGTGAATGATCCAGAAGTCAATTTGTCATGTTTGTGGTCATATCTTTCATCATTTGAAAGGTTTGACAGAGAAGATCCTCTCTATTCTTCTACTCTACCTGCATCTTCTCCCTCCACATGTGGTCATATCTGCAATATGCACACTTGCAAATCTTGGCAGCATTTATGATTCCCAAATAACCCTCCAACAAGCAAATGTTGTAGTTATTATATACCTAAGTGAATCACACTGCAGTTATTAAAGACACATATTTGCATCTTCTCCTCCTAGATTTTGACATTGTGTTGAAAGATGGATTACTGGTGAAAAACATGTCAATTTTTCAGCAGCAGGTGTTGTTTTCCATTTAGCATTGCTTTCCGTTCAAGTGAGAGAGAGCAAACATTGTAGTTACTATATGCCTAAGTGAATCACACTCCAGTTATCAGAAACACATATTTGCATCTTCTCCTACATTTTGACATTGCATTGAAACATGGATTATTGGAGACAAACATGTCAATTTGCCAGCAGCAGGTGTTGTTTTCCATTTAGCATTGCTTTCCGTGCAAGTGAGAGAGAGAGGTATTTGATCAGCAGACAGCATGGCTCTATGACAATGTCTGGAGTTCTGTTTCTTTTACATTTCAGAAAAGCACCTGTTAAATATTTGTTTTCAGAATTCCACCCATTCAAATGTGGGACATTGTTTCAGTTTAGCAGGACACTGTGACAGAAGTGAAACGTGCAGCACTATCCTACACATCTGGTCATCATACCAGGATGTCAGTATTTTATTTAAATGCCTTTTTTTGTTGAGAAGGCATTGCAATGCTTGGTCTTTTAGAATCTCTTTGTATCTGATTCCCGGCCTGAAATAAAACCCGATCAGACCATCCCTGTCCATCGTGTTGTTTTGTTCAATCTGTCGCTCTAACTATTTGAAAAGGTGTGCTTTGTGGGAGAATTATGACTATGCCTTTTTAAAACTATTCAGTTGAAGTATTTCTTGCATTGATGTTTCCTTAATGTTTGCTTTTAGTAGGAATGTGGATTTTCATTGTCCTTGTCCTGCAAGTAATGTCTGGATACTGTTGCTTTACTGAGACGCATTGCAGGATTGTCGGACTCTTAATAAGTAGCTACCTCACCGGCTGCAGAAGTTCAATATTACGCTCAGACATATTCACCTTTAATTCATGTTAGACCAACAGACATTGTTTTTTCTGTTGGAAATCCTTCTAATACACAGTTGTAGTTTGTTTCTTTGATAAAAGAAAGCTGCATAAAAGATCACAGCTCCCCCACTAAAATATGGGCATTAATTTGTTTTCTGTATATTCATTTTTTTTTATGTCGGACCCCCCTACTTTTTTGTCATTTTTTGCTGAAAATCAAAATATTATTCTTATCTCATCAAAAAAAAGAGTTGATTAAAGTCCCAGTAGCATTTAATAAACTTGATGTTTAAATTTTAAATTAAAGAAAATGCTTTTTTCCCATGTACCATGTAGATAAGCGGTTAGAAAATATGGACTTTAGTGAAGTTTTTTGTTATTGAGATTGTGCCATGGAATTAAAGAGTATTATGGCAAGGTGTTGCCATTTATATAAAACTGATCCATGTTTTGAGAAAAATACCTCTTGTGAAGCTTTTAAATTATCTGTTTTTTGTCTATCACCGGAGTTCGGCGCTATCAGCAAACCTGCACTTGGAAAAACTAACTCTCACGCAACCTTACTCTCTTGTCTTCAATTAAAATGGCCCCAAACATCAAGCAGCCTGGCTCATCACCTTCTTAATGACCACTTTTTTAATAAACTTTATTTACAAGTATAGAATATACAATTGCAAACAATCATTTGCTCGAGGTGCAGGATGACAAATCATCAGGATTTCAAGAGAAAAAAAGACAGAGAAAAAAAAACAAAAAACAGTTTACAGATTAATTGATTCACTTAGGGTTGTAATTTTCACAGCTTTAGAAAAAAAACATCTTACTTAAGCTCTAAAAACAGTGAGGTTGGGTTTGTTTTTAGCAAATTTGCAGGCATGAATGTGGAACTTCGCCAACAGAATAAAAAAGTTTAAAAGATATTCTTTCCCGGACATACTGTTATTACAAATACCAAAGAAAACATGTTTGACATTTAAAGGAATAAGTATATTAATTTCTTAATGACCACTCTAGAGGATTTCTCACTGCTTTGCTTTGGTCATCAGTACAGAATCGTACTGGCTGTGTTGTATTATTTGTTTGATTGCTACTAGGGGTCAGTTAGTATTTACAGTGGCAGGAATCCATTTCGTTGAGTCATAATTATGAATTACTCAGTTGATATTGAGCATGTGAAGGATTTGTGAGGACCTGTGATACATCACAGGTCATTGTTATGGAGAACAATCAAATCCATCTACTGTGTCTCCAGCTGCAAAAAATCAAAAAAACCATTATGGCCAATTGCTGATTTTACACACCAGCCTCAGGAGTGAATGTTAAATGAGTCAAGCTGTCCTATGGCTGATCATATTTATGACATTCATATAATCCCTTGTTGAAAGTATTATATAATTGAGAAAGTATTGTAGTAAAGGTCATAGTGGATTAAATGCTAGACATTTCATTGCTCATGTGCTTGAAAATGTAGATCCTTACCAATGTTTACAGTTCTCACATTTTAAGAAGTGGAAAGCTCAAAAATAGACAAAACAGAGCTGCTTTGCTGTGCCCTTTAGCTTCACTTTTATGTTCTAAAGTCTTGCTCTAACTTTTTGTGCAGTCTGATAAACAAAAGTGTTTTTGGCTTGGTTAAACTTTTTGTGCATGGGAACTATTAAGGTGGGGGGAAAAAAGCATAGTATGCACATTGCGCAAGAATGTTTTGACAGGAATTGACTTAACTTCCCATGAATTCAGTTCAAACACCCCACCTCTTTGCTCAGTTACAGTATCTGCTGCTCAGATCTACAAGTATTTTTCTGAGGATGAACGTATAGTGCTTACAGTAATTGGACTTCATCCTTTTCTAAACTCCTGAGCTCCTACCATCTGTAAAGTCAAATGTTTATTTAATTAAATGTTTAATTGATTTTGTATGTCTTTCTTGATTTTGTATGTCTGAGTCTGCCCACTTGCCATAGACTAATTGTGTGTTTCTAGACAGTGCCAAACATAGGTGGTTTACCTTATGATCTAGACATTTCAATTAGGGCTGGGCAATTCATTGCATTTGGAATGTAAGCGCAATTTAACAAAACACATTTTTAAATCATGGCGGCACTCATGGTTAGTCACGCTCTATTTAACAGGATGTATTGCCATAGTAATACATCCTTGGTTGGTGTTGTTAGTCATGTTGGAGTTAAACTGCCATTGATGGAATGGTGTAAACATGCTGCCAACAGATGGCTTCGTGAAAAACATTTCTGTCTGCTGATCACACCTGGAGCAAAATTAATATTAAGCTGAAATAAAATTTGTATATATTATCAGGACAGATTTTTACTGCATACAGCTTTGTTTTAACGTGAGCATATGATTTTTAGTGTTTATTTGAATAGGCCTCATCTGTAAGCAATATGGGGGGGTTATTGAATTCAGTGCTCGAGTTTATTGCAGAATGTTTACTGGTCAGAGCTGCTAAAGTTAAAGAAAATGGTCTTATTCCAGTCAGTCGGAAAAAGTCGTGCTGCTTATCAGACCTTAAACTTTTACACAGTGTCAACAAAGAGTTTCATCAATAAGTAGATCATATTCAAAGACCAAACAGCACAAATTCATGGGTAGAGGATATCCCAACATAAACATTAACCACATGGAAAGAGATTTTTTGAATATGAACTCAACTGCAGCTGCAATTTTTTTGGTCCTGCTAAAAGTCAGGTGGAAACTGACATCCAAAAATATCTGCAGCTGTTTTGGCCACAAAGGAAGCATTGATTGAATGGAAGGAGATCCTGTGTGTATGTAAAGATTATCGGCCAATCAAAAGTTAGCCTGGGTGCCATTCTGAACTTAGTCCCGCCCACAAGGTTTGAGGTCGGGAAGTTCGGTCTGGCTCTGCTCCATAGTAGCGCGAGTATTATCGCCCACTGTCAGGCGATCCAATCAAATTGTCAGGGCGGGCTTTATACTATGATGGACAGATGATCAACAGTAAAGTAATCAGCCACGTGACCAAAGCGCGCTTGGGTGACAACAATAATGGCTGCTGCTGGAGAGTTTGGGTGAGTAGATTCTGCTATTAGGTCTGTTCTAGAAGATATCGACAGCAATTTAATTTTAAAAGAGGAACAGAGAAACGCGATCAAGGCTCATCTTCTTATTCTAGGCGTGAAACTGCACGCTTTGATTTTTGTTGACAACAACGATGCGTTGCTTAACATACGTCACGCACTCCGTTGCTCTTATTGGTTGTACGTCTGTCCAATTTAGTGCAGAGGCATTTTTTTTCCTGGTTCGTTCAAAACACGCCCCATAATCACAGCTCTATGGAGCAGTATCAGACTCATATTCTGACTAGAATTGAGTAGGACTACGTCAGGCTGATCAAAAGTAGCTATAGTAGAAAAATATAATTAAAGAAAAAATATGGGAGCTAAATAATGCAGCAGGACTCAAGAATATCTTTATATAATTAAACGAAATCGAAAATTTAAACTCCACAAAGCACAGTTTTGTTACCTCTAACCTTGTTGTCAATCAGCAGAGAAAAACATATCTTATATTTTATATTTTTAACTTTAGTTACTTTTATTTTTTTTTTTGGTGTGGATTGCACTATAAATAATATTTTGTATTATCATTTTTATTATTTAAATATCCTTGTCATTATTACCACCGACTACATGGCTGAGAACCTTGTTTCTCTTTTACGACAACTCTTTGACACTCTAGTACAGGCAATCAGCATAATTGAACCAAGTTTGCATGTTTAATATAAGGAATGCAATCTTATTGCACTACTGTACCAACCTAACGACCTTATTTTGAATATTTGAAGAGCAGGCCCTATATGTGGTTTCTGGTTTTATATATCTAATATCAGCTCTGGTTATAAGCAGTTAACATGTTGCCATACAAAGGTCAGACATAGAAATGATAAATAGCACCTCACTGTTTGATTGTGTTTGTTAGGTCTTTATTTCATTTGCTATTTTTTTTCTTCATCAGTAAATTTTAATTTTTAAATCTACATCTTCTTTTCTCTGACAGGTTTAAAAAACAAAATCTTACAAGTTCCCAGAATTTCAATGTAGGCTGCTTGCTAAGAAACCTCCAGTGGTCATGATGTACTTATAGCCCCATTATGTTTCTTGTCAGCTACCTGTTTGGACATAATGTGCAGACTGGATGAGAATTGGGCAAATGTGACTTGTGATCTGAAGACTAATGGCCAGCTCTCTGACAGACTAAAGACAAATCGCTTGGCACTCAGCTTACAGCCCCTGTAAGTATAACATTGGGTTCTGCTGAGTACTTGTTTGAGTGTTTGCCAGCTGCTCACTAGGGGTTAAATATCTGTTTACTTTGTTCAGCCATGGAGAAGATCTGATGTGTAACACTAGTTTTAGGTGATCAGAAATCACAGCAGTTTTAGCCATTATTAAGCAGAGCGGGAAATGATGAAATGCTGCTTAGAGTGTCTAGAATATACATTAATATTTTTGTACTAAAAAGTGCTCTTCTCTTCAGTTCCCAGATAAACCGCACAGATGAGCCTGCATCTGATCATCGGCTTGTATGTACTGCAGAAGAATCGCTCATGTGCTCAATTCATCTCAATTCAACTAGAACCTTTGGTGTCTTGGTAACAGTCAACATCTCCAGCGTTGTGGCTTCAACAGTGTTGCTTAAAATTCCTGACAGACCTGGTAAGAAAGGAAAAATAAAATAAAGAAAAATATGTTGAATCATGAATTCATAATTTCTTTCCCACCAATGAATATAATGTATGTTTTATTTTTACTTATAAGGAATGGTTTATTAGACCTTACTACACCATTTAGGGATAGTTACTTAAACTTAGTATCTTTTACCATCGTATTACATTAGCTTTAGATTAATAAAGGTTGATCAGAGGTAGATCAGACTTGTTTCTGTATTACACCCAAAGATGTTTAATTAGATTTAAGATCCAGGGAATTTCAGACACCAAGTCAAAATCTTAACTTGTTTTTCTGCACACACTGCCTCTCTCAGCCGAGTTTCCTACCACAGTGCAAACTGATGCCATCTGTTCTCAAGGTAAACAGTTATCTGCCTGGTAACCAAGTGATTTGAGAATCATACCCAGCCGAGATCCTCCATTGCTTTGTGTTCCGGTTAAGACGCTCTAGTGGCTTTTGTTTGCACATTCAGCTTTAGACAGGTTTTTTTCACACCCTCACTATGGTAGGTATTGCATTATTACACTGGACTGAAACATTTGAATCATAACCCACAATAACTTCTTTAGGCTTTTAGTAGTTTTTCCATCTGGCCAAGCTCTGCTCTCCACATACACAAACATTTAAAATGTTCCCACTTTGATACTGACTGTAGGACGAGCTGCAGGTGTGGAGATGCTCTCGCCTGGTCGTTTATCCATCAGATTGGGGTCCAAACTCGCTGTAACACTTATGTGAACATTTTTCTTGCTTTTAGCAAATACACTTTCATTACAAAACATTTAATTGTTGCCTCACTTCTCACATAGTACTGGTCTCTTACCTAGTAATGTTTAATTAACCCAAATTCCCAAGTCCTTATATTATGGTTGCTGTGTGCATGTTTAAATGCTTATTATCACTCGTAAAACATTTTTTTTTCACCAATCTTCAACAGACAAAAAATGTTAATCAAGAAAATTGCACAGAGCTTGAGTGTTTGTTTAACATAAAATTTTGAGTAATGGGCTTAAAATCTTTATGGGATATATCTTATTTAAAAGGGTTGAGGAATTGTATATACTGTTTGTATAATAGATAAGCTAAAAACCCTGCCTGAATTCAAGAGTGCACCTAATAAACCCTATTCTTGCTATTTTATATGTATGAACATGTTTCTTTATCTTCATTACTATAAGAGATCAAAGCAGAAAGTTCCCAGCATTCGTCCTTTTTCAAAGGTCAAGCGCTGTGAGGTTATATTCAGAGCTTAATCCCTCCATGTTTTCAGTGCTGATGTGTTTTCTTTCTGTAGAGCATTCACCCTAGGAGCAAAGAGTCTGGACAGATAAAGTTTCAGACGTGAATGGAATACATCTCACAGCTTTCTGGTGATTGCCTTGGGTGTTTTCAAATGTGAAGCTGTGAGATCTCCACAGTGATAGACAAGGCATTGATATATGTCTGTTTAGGCTGACAGCTATATTCAGAATGGTTTGCTGGAATAGTATTTTACTTTTGAGTCAATTTAGATTTGTCCAGCATTTAGTGGTTAAACTTTATTTCCCTAATTAGAAAAGTTAATTATTCCACACTATGCACATCCATTTGTCAGTGAGTTAGTTAATCTGAAAACCCTCTCTGTGATTTTCTGATAAAAAATGACTAACATTAGTCTTATTTTTTAAAGGGACAGGGGACAAAGCTTATCAGCTCAAAATTATGTTTTTTTTTTGGTTTGAAAAAAAAAATCAAATATTATTAAATAAAGCAAAAACTCAACCAAGAATCAGCTAGTTTCCTCAAAGACAATTTGAACTTACCTGTTAATATTGTATCAAGTGGAAGACACTAATAGAAAACCTAGTTGATAGCAAGAAATTGTGCCAGTATTGCTTTTTACAAAATGTTAATACACTACTGTGTGCCAAATATAGTTGCTAAGAAGTGCAAAAAAGCTCCAAATATATAAATGCATTGCAAAAATATGAAGTACTACAAACTTAAATATGTAAATTACACAGCAAGAAAGTATACATAAAACAACATTTTACAAACACACAGAAATCACATGCAAAAGAAAAATGGTGCAAACGAGAAATGTTTTAGTAACAGAAAACAGAGAGCAGCAAAGTGCAAAATCATTTAAACTACATGTGCTGCAAACACAAACTGCTGAAAAAAAAGAAAACTAAGAGGCACTGAATTATTTTAAACTAGACCATATATTAAAATAAGAAGTAAATAATGACAACAATTATTTATAATAAATAAGGAAAAAATAAACCTAATACCAATTCAATTAATCATACGTTTTTTTCAGCAGTTATTATTAGTCGCACTTATAATTTTTTTTAAATGGAAATCAGTCAAAACAATGCAGATCCTGGTCCAAAAGATTAATCTATCAAATCTGTGTGAATTTGTCTGTTCACAGATCTCAGCACAGACAAAGTTTGAGGAAATCTAAAATATACAAATGATTATCCAAGTTATTATACTGACAGAACTGATCACTTTTATATACCTTTTTCAGAACTTCTCCAACTCTTTTGTACCCTCTGTCACTGAACTTTTAAAATCTGACAAGATTGTTTTTAATAACTGCCTTGTATTCCAGTCTTAAAGCCGCTACTATTTTCCCGCGCTTTGAACCATGTGGCTTATAAGAAGGTGCGGAAGCTGTGGATTTTTCCTAACCGCCAGAGTGGGATATCGAAGTTGGAAATGAAAGAATAAGGGGCTAATTATGACGTAGCACAAGAACATGCTAGCAGCAGGAACAACAGAGAACAAATGTCCTAAATTCATACATTTTCCCATTGATTTGCTGCATTAAAGCTGTTAATCTCATTTTTTCGTTTTGCTTGTCTCATTTTTATGTTTTACAGGACTCTTTGTGTTTGCAGAACAGCTATAAATTAGCAGCGCATTTGCACCCTTCAGCCACAGTAATTTAGAGATACATTTGCTTGCCTAAAGATAAATGAAGCAACATAATCCATAGTACACAGAACAAAGCACTTTTCTTACCCCCAAATTGTTTTTCCACCTTATATGTTTTGAGTAAACATGCACTTTCCTAACCCCTCACATCATGCCTGTTAATGATGTGAGGGGTGAGGGGTATGTGTAATGTTGTCGTGGAAACAGATGATTAGCTCAGCGCTATGCTTGAGTGACCCCCCCCCCCCCCAAACGGAAAGTCTGTAGAATTAGCTTTTAGTGCAGTAGCATAATATAGACAAACAGCTGTTGCATATCAATTGGCATTCAGATTCAGAAGCCATATAAACTTTAGGTAAGGACTATGTAGATCTAAATGACCCTGCATTTAGGAATTAATACTTGCATCCACTACGATTATGTATTTTAATTATATTGTCTGATGTTAAAGGGATTTCCTTTGCTAATGGTAATTTAGTCTACAGAAGGCAAACTGATGATCTGTGCACAAGAGAACTTTAAACAGTGGACCTTAAAACACACCTGATAATGGTCTCAGCTGAAGGCACCATAAACTGAACTTTCTTCTTCTGGAAGTTTCTTCCTGCTAAAAGGGAGTTTTCCTCTCCGCTGGCGCTACATCCATTACATCCATTATTCTGTTATTCACAAGACTGTAATGTTCAACTGCACTCCTGACTGTTACTATTGTAACAACTGTTTACATGCATCTTGCACTCCTCACCTTGACCGTACATTGATTTGCACTGCCGACTGTTTATATTTGCACTGCAGACTGTTTATTCACAGTACCAATTGTTTACATATACATTTGCAATAGCGTACTTTAACTGTAATATGCAATTCCCTTCCACTGCACTTTAATTTAGATAGCTTCTGTCCAAACTTTATTTATGCATTTTATAGTAAAACCCATCTGTATATATGCTATTGCACATAACTGTAAAAACCCTTTTTATAATAATATGTATATTATATTCGGTACATATTCAGCTGTGTAATTTAGTTCATAACACTAGTTATCTATATACTATATTCATCTATTAGTAAGATTCTGTTTATAATGGTATTCATCTCTATACTTACTCAGTAGAACCCATGTCCTGTATTTATAGAACCATTATTTATCCTGCACTTGATGCTATTGCACTTCTGGTTAGACCTAAACTGCATTTTGTTGCCTTGTACCTGTACCTGTGTAATGAAAATAAAGTTGAATCTAATCTACATGCATGCTTGGTGTGAGGGATTGCTGATGAGTCAACAACAAAGTGCAAGCGAATTTCTTCGCAGCAGGCTCATCTAGGAACAGCATATCTTGCAAGTCAATAGCTTATGCAATCGACTGGTTTTCCTGAACAATCTGACTGTATTTTCTCTGTAAAGTGTCTTGAGATTAAATGTGTTGTGAATTGGCACTACATAGATAAACTGAATTTAATTTAATTGATTATGGCCTGTTTTTCTTATGTGAGAAGAAATGTTCCACCTTGAAAGGAAAAAATATCCTTAACAATAAAAAAAACAAAGAAACAAATAAATAAAACAGGTTAACTTATTGAAACTGAATTCAAACTTTTGTTGTATTATCCATTATTACTGCTATTGTACTATTGTAGAAATTTGAGCAAAATAGATTTTAACTAATGACATTTTTTTATAGATAATCATAGTTTTCAGTATTACATTAATTTAATTTTGAATTATCTATCTTTTCACAGTGAAACCTAGTCCTCCATTCAACATCTCACACAATCATACTTTGGAGGCAGAGCTCATTCTCAGCTGGAAAAAGCCATTAAACTTAAGCAATAAAATGCTAAAATATGAAGTTCGCTATTCCTGGAGAAGTTTCAGCCAAACCTTGCAGGTGGGTCCTCGTCTTCTGTTTTCAGTGCATGTTTGTGGATGGATATCTATAATCATCCTCTCTCCTTTTTTCCAGGTGGTGTCTGCACTTGAACAGCCCTATCTATCACTAGATTTGGAACCCTCAAAGTACACTATCCAGGTTCGCTGCACCACCCAAACCCAGCCTCCACTGTGGAGTGACTGGAGCAAGCCTTACATCATATACCTTGAAAGTAAGAACTGTTTTTTTTTTTTAACTTGCTCTTTCAAAGAACCTTCCCACTAGAGCTCTGGCTTTAATAAATTCAATCTAATATATAATATAATATTAGCCTGGGTGCCAGTCCGAACTTAGTCCCGCCCACAAG